TATGTCGACTTCCTCCATTTCTTTCGACTGTGCGCAGAGAGTGGTCGGTCTCAGGATATTATTGACCACGCAAGAGAATTTATCAATTCGGTTAGTCCTAGCCGAATCCTTCGATGGTCGCCGATCGACGATATGTCCGAGACCGCGGAGCTATTCCGCATGCTCGCGGAAGCCGCTCGCAATTCATGAATCACAGTGCAGACTCAGTGAAAAATCCGTTGTCGATCGTCACCCGGATCGATAGGCAGAGTAGCAGTTCGGAAGTCGCGAACTTGAACGGAATGAAGCGGGCGAGAGAGGGCCCTTGAAAAAGGGTCATCATGGTTAGGCAATTGAGCAAGCGATCGAGCCGTAATATTCCAGCGTCGAGGAGGATTCTCGCGGCATCGAGAGCGATTTGGATCTGTAGTCGTCGGAGGGATTTAGGTCGGTGGCGATGTTCATACGTAGAATTGATACTGGGCGGATAAAGTGTCGCGTCGTTCTATGCGGTCACGTGCGGAGACGTATGTCGGCTTGCAACGTGAGCGAACCTACCCGCACGCTTGCTCCAATACACCTCACCGTTGTATAATCCGGTTGCATGGCATCGCAACGTGAGCAACCGCCATAGAATCGGAATAGATCAATAAGGGTCGGGCTGAAAAGACCCTTTGTGTCTTCCGCTATTCCTCTGAGGGGGAAGCCCGGAGCGAAAACTCTTCCGACGCTCCTTCGACGGATTTCGTAAAGATTGTTTCGGGGGCGATTTTCATTATGATGATGGCCGGTTCGACAAAGCATGGCGGGCATGCCGCAATGGATCAGGCTCCGTATTTTCCGTCGTGGACACGTCGTGGATCCCGCTATTCAATGCTTGGTCGATGTTTTTCCTTCGGATTCTCGAAGAAAGTTCCTTTGAATATTGCTCGAGTTTCGAGTAAGCTCCCTGGCAGGGAATCGATTTCGACGGATCTGATGTAGGGACGATGAGGAAAAATCCTTCGAAAGACTGGCCTCCCGGTTTTCATGCTGGATTTTATGTCTCGCCAACCGGAAGCTGAGCGCCTGACGAGCCAGAGGACGTTCACGCGCGAAAATGCCCGAGAGCAGACGCTCGAGGACAGACGGAACTCCAAGCTTCAACGTATTCTGATTTATACGAACTCCAGACAAGCCTTGCCGAAGGAGCTTGTCGTCTCTTACGAACGACGTTCGAGATGGGATCGAAACTATCGTGGGGAGGGAACGATTTCTGGCGGAACGTCCTACGTGGGGCGGACTCCGCTACCAGACAGGCCGGTGGGATGAAAGACGAACGGAAGGAAAGAAGAGTCTCTCGCTCCTGTGGAAAGGACTGGAACCCTAGTCGCAACACTGTATTGCTGAGCTGGTTTCCGTGGCTGTCTGTATGGCTGCCGCGAATGTTCGATGTGTTTTCCCGTTCGAGAAGCTTCCACCTTCCGCTTCCAGTAGCACAACTCATACCGTTGAAACGTATCTCTATGATTGAAGTTTATATTTGCTTGCCGAGACCCTTCTGTCCTCCTCAAAACACCGGAATCGTGATCGCGACACGATCTCGAATCGATATGAGCGTTGTGAACATTATACATCCGCCCATCCAATGTGTTGTCAAAGATTCACAAGCTTTCGCTGTAGCGCCGCGCCGACATTTCAGCCACGAGATACGAAGTAGCGGCTTCCGCTGCGTCTCCTTTCCCAGCGAGAGAGAATGTATCAAAACGTCCGATGGGCTGGAGAAAAAACCCTACTCGGTATACTCGGTCAAATGGAAGTTGACAAAGCTAGATATTAGATTTCGTGAAGCTCACAACGAAACAAGCTGGCCGAGCTGACTGGCACCGATCGATAGTGTTTTCATCTTTCCAGACGAGCTGCAGAGTAGGCCGCTTGCACTCGATCGATTGTCCACCGTGGGGTCTGCGGAATTCTTTCGCGAATCCCCCACCATCTCGAGCTTTCGAGTCGCGTTCGTTGTTCTAAGGTTCCGAGTCCCCCCCCCAAATGAGGCCACGCCTGGCGAAAGCTGTGGAAGTTCCGCGCGGGACCGACTCCGTATCCCGGGGTCCGGGGAACTTTCTTCGAATACTGAGAGGAACTACCCACACTGGGATAGATTCGGGGTCCGCAGTTCTCAGTTCCCACAGAGTCCGAAGTGCTTCAATTTGTCGATGGGTCGCCATTCCTCCGGACAGCCTGATCCACATGCGGCTGATTGCGGAAGAATCCCCGCATGCGTAAGTCGTTCGAGCGCGCGAATCCGACGATAGGGGCCGGCGTCTTCTTCGGCGCTGATCACAGTCAGTCGCTCAGGTTGCTCAGATACGAATGCTGACGTTGCATATTTCAGCCAGAATTAGGCAGAAGTTAGATATTGCAGGGGCGGCTCGACATTTGAAGTTTCAGGCCAGAAAATGCATGCATGTCCTTGGCCAGACTGTTGCCAGGCAAGTGAATGCAAAGTCTGCTCGCGCCCTTAGGCTGCGGAAAATTACGAACAGCCTCGTTGTGTGATGTGCTACACATGTCTGCTAGACTTCTGTCAGACGTCGAGCTTGCCACTGTGCAGTCTGACTTTCTGGCCATCCGGCGAGCCGGTCGCCGCCCGGCCGAGTTAGCCCTCGATCGGGCCCCCAGCTGTACAGAATCTGCGTAGTGAATTTTACGGAGCGACGGGCGGCGGGATCCATTATTGAGCGTTCCGTTGTCTGGAAACGCAATTCCAGCCTATGAAGAGTGTATTTCCGTATTCACCGAGTCTTACTATGTCGCCTTCGCATTCGTCTCGTCGGAATCGATCGAATGATGTCACTCGAATCGCGTTCTGCCGAGCGATACCTTGTAGCAAGCGAACACGTACGAGCTCCAGTCGAGAGAAGGCCGAGTTCGGAGTTGCTCGGGACACCTGACAGAGAGAACTCGTTTTTGCATACGCTCGATACCTGTTGAATATTCGAACTTGACTGGAGACCGATCGCTTTGAGCGTGCATGTTCTCGTTTAGGAGCCTGGATCCTCGACCAAGACAGACAGAGGGAGAGAGCGCTTCGGGACCGTCAATGGGAGGAATACGACCGACATTTCTGCGAATTCGATTTTTGTGCCGCATCCGCTCCCGGTTGATTTATCCGAAGCGGGAAAAAGACAGAACGAGGACCTTCCACGTTTCCTCTCTGTAGGGAACACGTGTCTTGTGACTGACCCTTCCTCAGCGGTGGAGCTGCTCCTTCGCGGGTGAAATCGAGATTGAGAGGGGGGAGGGGGGAATCTCTTCGGGAGGGGCGTGCCGACCGCCGTGTCGCGGTGACATTGGAAATACTGTCTAGAGGTTGTTTCAGTCTTGATTGAGGCTCTCGTTCTGTGTGTGCAAGTCGCTGACAACAAGGGACCGGATGAAGGAAATAGCTGTCAAGCGTTATTGACTCTGTTAGGAGAGGGCGAGGCATGCCATCGCGCACCTTTGTTACGATGAGGGCGGTGCTTTCGTTTGGATGGTAAATTCGGATGGTCGGCCTAGTTTGCCGCCTGGTGGTGCAGCGTTGTGTATAGTTGCGCAAGGCCATTGCGCCCTCTCTTCGTCTCTGTCTGAGTCGGCCCCCATCCTCCCTCCCGTCCGTCCCCCCGGTCAGCTCCCTTCATCCCTTCTACCCCTCACCGACTCCCCGGCCTGACGATGGCCCTGAAGTCGCCCCCTCCCCGCTCCCGTCTCGTCCCTAAGCCCTTTGGGTGTCTGCTTCGAGAAGGAGGGAATAGGTCGACTGCCCCTGGGGGTCTTTCCGTTCGGGAACTTCCTTCGTTCTTCTGGCGTTGGCACAACCACCACGGCTGCTGCTTCCACCTCTGCTCTCCGCGTCCTGAAAGAAGAGGCAGCAGCAGAAGGGAGAGGAGGCTGTCGGAGGGTCTGAGACGCTTCTGAAAACCCGAAAGAGAGGGAACGGTCTCCCCGAGAAGGGGGGCACCGACGATAGGAATCCTCGCACCGAGCATCGAAGGACGCGTCAGACGAAGAAATCTGTTTGTTTCCTCTGGAAAAGAAGAGCGCTACATTTTCGCGGCTGCCGACTCTGAGGTGGCGATGGAGTCGGCTGATTCGACCTTCGATGCGGAAAAAGGAGCAGACGTGTCTGCAGTAGCTTGATCCATGCATTGCTCGCGTGGAGAGCCGGGATGCTCATCATGGTAACCTGGAGGAGCGACCGGAGATAATCCGCCGCAGAATAGAGCGGTCTGCTTATCTTCCTCAGGGTCTGTCGTCCGTCAGCGAGTCGCAGGCTCTTCGATCCACGTGCGACTGACGATTTTGAAAGCGGCTCAGAGGGGAAGATACGCGAGGATCCATCTTGGTAGCTTGGAAGTTATTTAGGGCTGGTGGGACATGAAAGCGATAAGAATAGTCAAGGGGCCTTCAAGAAGTCTATCATGAGGACCTTATTCTCATTTTTCATGAGGCATCACTCATGTGATGACTCAATATCGGGAGTGTCTGGCGAGACCCTGAGACACCCGACAGGAACCTGAGCTCTTTTCTCCGACCGTTTCTCGACGAATTCCCTCTCGTCTCTGGGAGACTCTGATCGCCAGAGAAGACGGCGTACATGATGCAATGAGACGCGAGAATGAAGTCGACAGGGCAAAGATTGGGCGGAGCGAAATCCACATGGGTTCGGAGGACCCGTAGGGAAAGCAAAGAATTCATTTGAGCTGGTCATTCCGACTTCACCTGAAGGGAGCGCCATCGAATTCTCTAGGGGGCCGGAAGGTCTTCCGGATACCGCCGCAGGAGCGATGAGCGGCTTGAGCCGAATCTAAGATTCTTCGGATGGGACCTCGCGCGCAGGATGCATACGATGCCCTCATCGGGAGGGGATGGTGGCTCCTTTTCTGAGAGATGATAGCGAAGGATATCGATCAATCTCAAGACCTAAGAAAAGCTTCGGAATCTCGCTCTGAATCGTACAATCAGCACATTAAAACTATTCGCACTCGTGAATTCTTCAGGCTCTACACGTGCCGCTGGCTCTGAAGTACAGATGCCCGTCTTCCTCAACTTGGAAACTTGCTGTGGCTTCACTTCTGAGCGCCTTGCATGTGGGACTCCCTGTGGCGCATTCCAACCGTGAGTATACAGAAAGGATATTCAGACGCCTCTGGCGCCTGAGAGCTCGGCCTTTGCTAGCTCCCGAAGAGCATAAATGCGCGAAATCCGCGGCTAAGGATGCTCTCCTCTCTCCAGCGGTGATGTTCGAAGATATGTGGGGCGACCTTGCTGTAACGCTCGAAGAGTTCTTGTTCTCCGAGAGTTCATCTCCACCCAATCAGACATTGGAAGAACAACAGAACGATGAAGTTCTCGACACAAGAGTGAGTATATCATTGGCTCGCGCATTCTCGGAAGCAGGAATCATGCGCTTCTCAAACCATATATCCTCCCCCGGAATCCGAATGAGACTACTAGCCCCTATGATCCTCAGGATTTTCTCCGTACTTTTTTTTATCGTTGGAGCTCTCATTTTCCTGGGTGTGAATTGATCGAAGTCTCCGTTCCACAGGTGATCCAGCTCATCCGTGATTGCATCTTACCCCATGCTTCGAAGATGCCAAAAGTCTTCGTTATGAGGGTGGTGGCCCTTCTCAATAAAGGTTCAATTCACTCGGCGACATCCAGCGCACCGGTCGGTGAGTACCGCAGCCGGCTCGGAAACAGCTCTCAGCGACCTTGCCCCTCTTTCAGCACATTGATTGAATGTGTCGACGTCCTCCTGCAAGACCTGTATTCCTTTCCCAAAATTACATTGAATCATGCTCCCGGGAACCCCTACGTCGAGTAAATTGTCCCATGCGCCCTCCTCTTCTCGAATGCATGACGCGATGGAGTTCGAAGCAGCTCTTGTGGGGTCTACGGTTCGAGTGCACTAGGAATGAAATCATCCCTCCACTGCCCTTTCGAATTATGCTCTGATCAAGATGTATGGAGACTGAGAGATTTATTTTTATATGTTTTGCCGGGCGACGAGGTGATGCATGACGTCAGTCTGGAGTACAGGGCATTCTCTTCTTGCCTTGCCAGATATGCTCACCACTGGTCCGGACCTTTCGCGTGCCTCGGGGCCGGGTACTTCAGAGAGCAGCAGCTGCAAACCTGTGAGCCAAACCTCAACGGCGCCCGCGTCCATTGCCATTCCAGACACCGAGTCGACTCGGAAACTCCGCGAGGAGTTCGCAAAGGCCTGCTTCGAGACCCTTCTGCAGTTTTCATTCCTCGAAGGCAATACCGTGCTCCCGCACGATCACGACGGGGCCCACAACGGAAGTTCAAGTCCTCAACAGCACGCCGGAGTCGTGTCGAAGCTCGCCATCACGTCTCTGCTGCACAGGTAAACAGAGCGTCGAGCTCGTTCATACTTTCGGCATTATCGGGTGAAGTTCGGTAGCAACATCACACGTCGCTTCCGACGTTTGGAGATTTCGCAGATGTGCGATTTTTCCTGAAATACGTCTACATTCGTCCTCGTTTTCACTTCAGGTTCGAAGAGGTTATATCAACGTACGTCGAGGATGAGCGTCTATCGGGAAAATGTCCCTTGCCCAGGCATAGAATGTCGGAAATATCGTTTGTGTTGAAAGCCATTGCCACACTAATAGCTTCACTGAAGAAAGCTCCGCGGGGTAGCGTTGATCCATCGGTTTGGAAGCAGCTCATATCCCTCTATCCCAGTTTGGTCAAGTGTACGACGTCGTCGTCTCCTCAAGTGTGCCGATCGCTCAAGGAGTCTCTGCAAGAATACACTGACCTTCTGAGTCCGCCCTGCTGAACATCGGTCGAGTCTGACATCCCACGATCCCATCACGTTTTCTATAATACGCGACTCACGACTTCTCGTACTCCGATGTTCACGATGCTGCTTGCGTCGATTCTTCAGAACCCATTTGCCCCTCTCCGGATTTTTCTGTAAATTTCATTCTGCGCTGTCGATAAGTGACATGTTTTTCGACGAGAAAACCGTGTCAGTTGCCGACTAGATTTCTGAGCTCACTCCGCAGAGATGAGGAACGATAGCTCTCAACCGAGAGGAGGGAAATGTACCTTAGACCCTAGATGAGCTACGGATGAATTGAGCAATAGACGCTAGCTCTCCTTTTTGCCGGAGATTCGATCCCTTCCTCCGATCCCCGCGTGAGTCCCGGAGCCAGAGCTTCAGATCCCTCGCACCCCCTCAGCTCCTGTAGTGTCCGCATTATTTTTGCACTCCCGTGCCCCCGATGGATGGGGAACCATGATTCAGTCTGAACAACGCCGTAGTATAGAATGGATTAATAGATAAATGATAATTCCGATGGAGACTGAGCTGCATAAAGTAAATTTGATATGACGACGACGACGATATCAATGAAGCAAACAACGAGACGAACGTGTCGGTCCGTCACCGTAGCCGGCTCGGTTGTGGTACGCTCGATTGTAGCGGCACTGATGATGGTCCGAGTTGAGTGGATATGACTCAATCGCTGGCGAAATCGGGACGCTTCCGATAACTTGAGGCCCCAGATGTGACAATGTGATAGCAAGGCCACGAGGTCCTCGCAAGGTCTGCTCGGTGTGGAGAGTATCATTTGAATAAATTATATACTCTTGTCAATGCTTCTCGATAGTTTTCCTTCCATTTTTCGATCTGCTCGATCGCGTTTGACTCCAGAGTCTCGGGAAGAGCTGTCTGCTGGTCGGAACCCACTTTCGGCAGAAGCGACCCTCATGACTATATTCGATATGTTTAGCTCATCAGTTCTCGACTGGCCATCCAGTGTTCGGTCGAGTTCGATCACTTCAAGCTTCATGAATTTCCGCGGCGAATCTTGTTTACACGGAGTTGCTTCAGAAATAGAAATCACATAGGAATTCCGGCACCGGAACAGGGTTAGATCAATGCAGCCCGAGGTCATCGCGAACTACTACTTCACGAGCAATTGATCGAATGCGTTCCCCTGGCCTCTCCATCCCTGGTCGGGTCGCTCACCGTCAAATTCAGCTTAAGTTTCCGCAATGCGGGTCCGACATACGAGGTTAACGAGCCTTCGATTTCACGAAGCATCATGGAAAATGTCACCTCCCGGGGAAGAGCACCGTAAGTATCTCCGGCGACTCTCCGCGTTCCCCTAGGGCCTTGACGTCGTAAAGCGCAGTTGATGACGACAGCCCGCGCTTATCCAAATCTCGCGTGCTATTATCATTTGGAACGATTATAAAAAACAAATTCTCATGTCTCAAATCATCATTCTATTCATATCTATATACCGAAACGAATTGTACACATCGCTCTGATTCGATTCTCCGATCGATTATTGACGCAAGGTCCGAGGCCAGTCGGAACTTCTGAACGATGACATCACACACAATGTGTCCCGGTGGCCGCTTTCAGGAACGACGAAATGAATGGCGGATTACTCGGACTCGATGCAGCGTTATCGGGATGGATTCAGATAAACGAGTCGACGCAACGAGACGCGGAGATCGATGAATGTGTGAACTGACCGTTGTACCTTCCGGACGACCGGCGGCGTCCTAGAGTTACATCGTCGCATGTGTTACAGGAGGACTCTTTCAACAACATTGTCCTTTCGAACGTCCGCATGCGCACACCGGATCTTATCGTCGCGAGCTCGATATAAGGTTGGGCCGGGCAATTTTTTTTACGGAAAACAAACGACGTCTGGACTGAGAGGAGGATTACGTCGCTCCCCTCTGGCATGCTCTCGAGGGCTTCGCCGTTTCCGCCTTGTTTGAGTTCGAGCTTCTTTCCTCACTTTCCATCCACGCGTTCCACAGTCTGATCGCGGGTTCTAGGTGTCATATGGGGCACCTACTGACACATCGATTAGAGCGCGATTTCGATAATTATTGATGCAACTTCACACCCCCTCTTTCTCCTCGATTCGTCCGCGGGTTTGGAGGCTGCCAAAACAGGAGCCGCTACAAGTCTCCCGGAGCGGGAATAGATCGACCGAGATAGAACGCCGTTGCCCAATCATCGCATGGCGGAATGCCGCACCTCGGGCCGACCTTCTGCTTTGAGAAATAATCTTGGCCAAGCCGAGGAGTGGGCGAGCGACGTTTCTCAGAAAAACGCCAACTCTATCCTCTCACTCCTCCCTAGCCTGCGAAGGATGGTATCCGACGTCAAAGAGGGGACTGGAGCTTGGCTAGAAGAGGATCGTGCATCAGGGCACCGATGTCGAATCAAATGTGTTTCTGATGACCCTTGAGAATCTGTTGGAAGAAGGTCATTCTTGAGTCGACGATTTTGGGATTTATCTCAAGTGGGTCTGCACGGGAACGAAGGGCCGAGTGGATCAAGGCACGCTATGACTGGCGCAACTCTGAGGGCGCAGAGAACCAGGGAGCTTTCCGGAACGGACAAGAGTGTCTTCAGCGAGTCTAGCTGGTAGTCTAGCTGCCTATCCGCCTGTTCTGCCTGCTGTTCTACTGGGGAAATGTCGCTCTGTCTGCTATTTGTGGGTATTCGGCTCCATGAACGAGATTAACGGCCCCCATTGTCCTGTACTCGAGTTGAGAGCGTTTCGAGTCCGGAGTCGGAGGAGGAGGCTGCGGAGGGAAAACTCACTTAAGGCGTCCCACTTAAAATCATGAGGCCGAGTTTGTGCCCGTTTTCGTTATCCTGAATCTCGCCGAGTTCTCATGTGGGACTCTCTCCCCGCGTCCGACCTAGTGGCCAAGTTCCGAAGCTCCCGGCCCACAAACTTGGAAGCTATCGCTGCGAGATTGGGAAGTGTCGAATCCATGGAGCAGATGTGTCCGGATGAACCGGAGCTGCGGTACGCGACTTCAGCCGAGAGCGCGAGTCGAGCCATGCGAGGAGTAAACAAGGGTCCTTCGGGTTTCTCTGCTCTCCGGGAGGATTGGGAGAATTCGGCGCACTTGATAATTGCGATAAGTGCACCGTCTTATCGTGAGAGGCGTTCCTCCGATGGATTCGTCGTTAAACAATGGAGGTGGTGGTGCTGTTGGATGTGGGTCGATCATCGTATTCTCAGATGCCCGATCTTGAGTGGAGCTGTTCGGACCTGACCTCTTGCGCAAGGTTACATTTTCCCTAACCACGCCAACTCGATACGTTAACATAAAACCCTGATGGTGTCCATCTACCCTGACCTTTCACAGGTCGAGCGATCGGAAACTCTGCAATCGAGAGGATTCTCTGTATCACGCCCGATCTTCGTGAGGAACTCTCACACTAGTTCGGGAAATGCTTGGAAATCTGCCCGAGAATCGTTCCGTTGTTCAGCCGGTAGCCATTGAAAGGCTGGGGGTCATAGGTGAATCCTCAGGGGCCTTCCTACGGGACTTGGGAAATCGGATCAAATAGACATCAGGGGATGAGAGAGTTGAAGAGTTTCTTCTACAGAAGATAAGCGCTGAGAAGCAGAAGGGCAATGCCGTAGCCATTCTCGGATCACTTCCGAATGCCAAAGGCCTCGCTGGTATAGGTTGATGACCTAGACATTTACAAACTGTCCACTCTCCACAAAATAAAAATGATTCTGTTCTGGAAAACCTGTTTTCTGACGGGAAGCGACCGCCCCCGGTCGAGGAGAGTGCAGACTAGACGAATTTGGGCTCATCCTCAGCGGAAAAACTGTCGAGTCTGCAAATCGAGCTTCCCGACCACTGTCTTCTGGGAGAATAACTGGACTGACCGCTGGTCCGCCCCTTCCTTCTAGGCGGGAAATTTTTTGGATCTTTCCTCACATTGATCCTCCGGCAGCGGAGTCGTCTCGAGCTGCGGTCAGCGCCGATAACGTACATTCCCCGTATGATTAGGCTCCCCATCACCGCTATGGAATGAGAGCGATCGTGATCCCGTTCAAGTAATACACTTTGTTTATTTGTGTCGGTGTGAGGTTATGGGTTGCTCTGATTGGAACCGAATCGAATTCGCAGAAGCAACGACGAACAACGCGCCAAGACTCCAATGGACACAGTTTATATGTTCAAATTTACAGCTGCGGCTATGAGCCTCTCCCTCGCTGCGGGAGTGACAGGTTAGTTATAAGAGTAGAGAGTTACACTTGTTGTTGTTCATCTAAATTCTGCTTCACTTTTCGACGTTACGCGAATACATTCTTTTTAGCGTAGAGGTTTGTTTGGGAATGAAACCAAAAGTCATTCTCGATTTTGGGTAGCTTCCAGATGTTTACTTCCTACCCCGTCCACGTCCGCGTCTTGCTGTACCTCTCTTGGCGGGTGTCGCCTGTGGAAGGAACCGATTTAGAGTGAATTCCTCAATCTCGTCATGAGCGCATGCCCGGGGGTCGCTATCTCCGTTAGGGGTCGAGGGATGATGGGGAACCTACCTTCACTGGCTCTGGTGCGGGGGTTTCGGGTTCGGCGGCTGGTTCGGCTTCTTCGGCGGGAGTGGCGTCTTCGGATGCGTTTGCCTCGGTACCCTGGAGCTCCTCCTCCGGCGCAGCAGCCTCGTCGGCAGCTGTTTCGGCTTCTTGAGCCTCATGGGCTTCGGCATCCTCTTCTTCCTCGGCGAAATCTTCCTCGGCATCCTCTTCAGCCTCCTCGCCGTTCTCCTCGGGGGCTTCACCGTTCTCCTCTGTCGCTTCGCCTTCTTTATCTTCCCCACCAGCCGCTTTCTTGGCCTCTTCCTCGGCCTTCTTAGCCGCGCGTTCAGCTTCGGCTTTCTTCTTAGTAATTCTCTTCAGATGCCCCTTGGTCTTGCAATGGAATTCCACGAATTCCTTCTTGAAGACGCACTCACAAAGGGAGCACATGACCGCTTCAATCGGCTCGCAGAGTTCAGTGCCTGGAAGGAGAGTTAATTTTTTTCAATATGCTGTGCTGCTGAGGCACGATCGAAAACAGTGCATACGACTCCTCGGATATCGAAAATTGAGAAGAGAACGAGGAGAAATACTCTCATGCAGCCCTTTGAATAAAGCAGATTTTGAATTGAATTGAATCGATTCAAGATTATGCGAACGGATCCTCGGTTAAAGTTCAGAGACCGACCTTCCGGCTCTTGGCCTTCCTTGACGTCAAGCTCAGCGGTTTCCACAACTTGCATGTGAGCTTTCGAGCCAAGATGAACTTCATAGCGTTGACGGGCATCGTCGCCGTTGAACTTCAAACCACAAGGTCCGCATGAAGGGTATTTCTGGGCGCGTTTTTCACGGTGCGGTTTCGTCAATTTGTGTTGATTGTATGTGCCATCGAATTTCTCCTGGCAGATCTTGCAGGTTCCCTCTTGGCTGAAAAGGAGATCGCTTATATTAGAGTAATAATTAATCACTCCACAGGCTCGATGGGCTGGGAGCATGGGAACGCCTAGGGAACACGAGGGGCCCACTCACGCTTTCTTCTCGGTGTCATCGAGAACGACGCACTCATCCTTGGCGGCGGGCTGTTCCTTCTTCGGTTGAGCTTTCTGCGGTCCGCGTCCGCCGCTGCCACGGGCTCCGCGCAGCCTCTTGACAACAGTGACTCCATTATTGAAGTTCTGCTGAGCAGGCCTCTTGACGCCACGGTTTTGACCCTGTAAAGCAGCATGTGAGAAACGCTACGAGCCGGAGCTAGGCGGGGCTGGGGGTTCGGGACTCATTGCTTACCTTTTGGACGCGACACCGTATTATACTGACGACAATCGACAAATCGACTACGAACAATTTCGAGTGACCCACCAGGAGAACGTGAACGTTAACTCCCGATGAGCACAAAAAAATTCACGAAACGATTGGAATGTCGCAGGAGAATTCAACGCCGCGAGTTCTCGACCGGTATTCCGGCGATAATCATCATTATGAGTCTCAAATGATAAACGAAAGAACAAAAACGATGCCTTCGTTCAACACAGTCGTCCCTCTGCCAGTCGTCGCTACCGAAGGATGCTATTCGAAAGAAGACCTCGAAGAGATATAAATGGCATTCGATTGCACAAGGGGGGCGAGATCGGTTGACGGAAAGTAATTTTGAAGAATTTCGAATGAACGTAGTGTTCTCTTGTTTGTTCAAATAGCCAACCCCGTGCATCGTCGTGCCGCCCTACATGGACCAACGGTGGTCTTAGCTCACCTGGTGCTGCTGTTGCTGCAGTTGTTGCTGCGGGGGTCGCTGGTTATAGCCCCTGCTCGGCTGCTGATAGTTGCTGTGACGCGGGGGCTGTCTTTGGGGTGGTCCAGGGGGATAGTATCCACCACCCCCCTGATTATGCCCTTGGTTTCCATAGCCACCCTGCGGATGGTGGCCGTAGCCCTGACCGCCGCCATGGTGGTGACCACCAGCACCCCCTTGCCACATGGGCTGGTTGCCCCAGCTACTATTCCCGCCAATCCACGGTTCGGCATCAAATTGGCGGCCGCCGCGTTGTCTGTACGCCATCTTCCTCGAGTAAGTCGGAGGGCTCAATTCAATCGAGTTTAACCTGGTTTCAAATCAACAGGCCGTTTTTTTCCGTATCAACGATGTCTCGATCGATCGATGAATCAATCGATGCGAGCGGCTCTGAAGTTGGCCGAACGTGGGAGGATGGATGGATGGCTAGATGAACGGAGTTCTGTGGAGGCAGGCTCCCTGTTGCTGTAGCTGTTGTTCTGGTCTTCCTATGCCTCACTCTCTGTTTAAACACGGAGTGAACGCGCGCGCTCACGTTCGCTGCAATTAATAACAGCCCATCGATACAGCGCTTTTAATGCGTCAATCGAAATTGATTTCTTCAATTTTTCTCTGCCTAACCATCAATCACCAATAATCAATCATCTTATTCATCATCGTCACCATCATCATCATCGGATCGCTCATTGCTCATTCCCAATGAGTTCGGAGGTCAGTTTTCGAGTCGCGAGCTCCGATTCGTGGAACTTCTAATCCCGTTCGACAGCCCAGCAAACTCTCACTAAACTCGATCTGCCGATAGAGATCATAATCGCGACAACCACAACGTCGTCAACAACAACTTCGATCAGTGCAGAATCCGCTTAGTGTGGTGATGATCCTTCCAGTCGGCGAGCCAATACTCACTCGGACGGACGGTCGCTCGGTTGGTCGGCCGGCCAGCCAGCCAGCCAGATAGACGGGTTAAATATTCGACGATAAATATACGCTTGAGAAGATGCATACCTTAAGAGGAAAATATTCGCCACCATACGGAGATGACACTGCAGCCATCGTCATCCGTAAACATACCGGTTTCCGTCCGTGAACGAATAGCTCAATGTTTTTTTTCTCCTGCACTGACTAACACAACCGCAAAGTCAACAAAAGCAGCATCATAGTTTCGTTTCGATTCCCCACAGTTTCGGGACTACATAGTCAGATGACTCAGGCCATCTTAACGCTCCGTTAACAGTAAAAAAAAATCGCGGAGCATTCAGAACAACGCTCCTCGGAATAGACGCTATACGCTCGATACACGTGTTCTCCTTCTACGCCGATGATACGCAGTTGCGAAAATTCAAATCAGTTCGATTACCGAAGATCTCCCACTGTAGTCGATCTCACGAGGATTTAGGCGAAGCTTCGCCATTCCACATATATCGACACGGCGGCGCAGCCCCGGCCACCGGCGACACGACGCGAACCTCGGCGACGGCTCCTCCTCGTTGACCTCAGACGACAGCAGTGTTCGAGTTTCGTTTCGCCGAATACGAAATACGGTAGCGAAACAATCGGAAGCGTCACCGGTCAGCGATGGGGGATCCATTGGGCGAAATCCGTGGAAACGCAAGCCCGCAGTAGCAGTTCCCAAACGAGCGATTAGGGCCTCAGAGACTTTGAACGGCTCTAGGCCTAACGCGGAAAGCGGCAGAGTGTTCCGAGTCGGCGAGTTTCACGTAGAACTCGCTGGAAACTCGCGGGCAGGACTCAGGTTCGTCCCGAGGTTCCGTCTTGTCGCCGTACGCTCCAACGATAATCAAGTTCTTACTCACCTTTTGGTTTAAAATCAGAGCTGACGGGAATTGAAAGCGTTGCTTCCCACCACCGGCGTCATACAACACAAGACAGAAGAGGAGCGGTACGCACCACACACACACAAGCGATCGGCGGTGAGCGAGTGAGCCGGCCGCCGGCCGGGTGTCTCAGCACACAAGCAACCTCTCTGCTTATTCGCCTAGCAGACGAATTCCGCTAATATAGTCGGCGGCAGAGCAAGGGTGCGAGGTGTCCATCAGATGATGATATCACTTGCATCGTTTGAGCGCCCACGGTCTACGGTGCGGCACCGGAACTCGGACTCCGCAGCTTCGGAGCGTCAATCTCGAGATACTCCTCTGTTCTGGAAGGGAAAAAGTTCGAAAATTGAAGTCATATATTCTGACTACCCGAGCGCGCTGCCGCGGCAGAGGAAGCGCGGTTTTCAGAGCTAGAGATTATTATCGGTTCACATGGACTTCGCGATAACTTTGGCCTGTACTCCGTGGTTCATCGAATTTAGTCTGCAGGTGCATCTCGCCTATAGTATAGAGTCAAGAGATCGTTATGACTCATAATCCTCATGAGTGATGAGATTGTTGAGGCGGAATGTCGAGCTGGCGGAATACTGAGGCGACTCGGATACGGACTTTGATACATAAAGGCTGAAGCTGAAGGGTACACATTCAAGAATTGGACAGTCATCTCTGATGTCTGATGCTTCGCCCAGTCTCCAAGCGTATGACGGTCGAGAGACCGATCTGCCCATCTCTACCGTTGCCGGTTTTCAGATCCAATCGAACGCGCTGGTCTCTAGCATGTCCCCCACACTCAAGCCTATCGATCCTTTGATTTTCATGTTCCAAAGCTATTCATGTTTTCCTATCACGCACTTGAAGTCAGTCGTGACCATCTACGGCAAGACGGTTCGCGGGCATTTCAGGATGATATCCCGATATGGAGCCCTGGGATATGATATCTCGTCGCACATTCTCATCTCTTCTGACCAGTGGCATCGCGTTTCTCGACCAAACTACACGAACTCGGGATCTCACGGGATTATGGGAGCAGAACGTCTCTCCTGAACCAGGCGGACTCGACAAACATTCGAATAATTCTGTCGTTCGGAAATAGACTCATTCGGGACGTCAAGGCTGATGAGTGATGAGCAAGAACTCTTCTTTCTTTCTCTTTGTAGCGTCACGGGCGGCGTGTATGAGCAGCCTTGGAGATCCCTAGAGCCAGCTCGCCTCCAATCGGGTCGGGATTCTCTATAGAAATCGACGTGATCCATCTTCGGAAGTTTAAACCGGACTCTCGGATTCCGTGGAACAGCCTCTCTTTGAAGCTGTTCCTGTCAGATGCGAGCATGCAAAACATCCATTCCACAGCAATACTTATTTCTTCATCCTCGAATATTCGTGCATACTTCTTGACTCAGATCGGCTGAATGGAGGGAAAACTTGTCTCTGTCGCAGCCGCGTTCGCTTTCCTCATTAGTAGAGGAAAGCATCGCTTTGAATAATGGCTGCGCGCCCCCATTGAACTTCTCGCAGCCAGTCATGGCAATTGCACGGTGTTTCCCAAGTTGCAAGGCGAGAGGCAAGCTCACCTGCCACATCGCAATATTGTCCACTTTGATCCTTCCCCATTCCAAAAAAAATCTCGTCGGCGCCTTTTCTCGTTCTGCTCACAATGAGTAGATACTAATGCTTTCTCAGAGTTTGAAGAAACCTCGTCCAGATGGCGGCATCGGCGTTAGTTGGAATAAGTTCGAATACAGATAAGTCTGGATTCGAGCATCTCACGAGGTGATCTCTCTGACGAGTGGCTCAAAAGATTCTGATGATGATGACCTACCTCTATGAATCAAATCTCGCACCGTCACGGCAGAGACCGGCACCGTGTCTGATGAACGGTTGGAGATCCAGTGCCAAAAGAAAAAGTCCATGAGGCAGAAAAGCGGAGCTCGGAGCGGAATCTGCGTCCTGTACGTCCACGCAAGCTCGGATCACAACAGGTTTTCGCTGCCCATCTAAGATCACGGAATCGTCCGCACGCTTGACGTAGGGAGAATGTGTTATGTCTCTTCAGAAAGGCGAGACCTCGTGTCTTCCAAAAGGATCTCATGGTATACGAATTCGAAGCTGCCTCGGTCTAGCGCAAGCAAAACGAAACTTTCCACATGGTACGGAACGGCTCCGACGAAAGGCTACGTTGAGGTGGCGCCGCGCCACGTCAAGGATGAACGGACCCTCTTTGTGCTTCCGCTAGCATTCGGAAACCTTGAAGCAGCACTTGAGGATGCCAAGAACATGGACGATAGAACCCATCGGAAAGAAAGTTGCGGGAGCTGCGGTTCTTCAGGGAAGCCGCCCGATGGTCGGGATGGCGCGCAAGAGAACAGAGAATCATCGGTTTCGACAAGCCGAGGAACACGATGAAGATCGCCGAAATCAAGAGGAACCTCTTGGCTCACTCACTTTTCCGATGCGTGTCATCTTGGGTATATCGAAGTGCGTACTGACATGCTGAAAAATGCCGAACAGCGGAGTTCCGGATATTAAAGTCTAGTTGTCTCAAAGAAGAGTCTTGACATCCGAGCGAGACATCGGCGCCTGGAGCAAGAGATTTGCCATTGCCAGGACCGTTGGATTCGGCGATGGGACGGAAATTGACCTTCTCTTAGCGTCTATCGCGGCATCTTCGACACTGTCGGAGAAAACGGCGACAAGACATTCGTTCATGCAGACCTCGACCTCGGAGACGATGGCGCGAATGGCATCCTCGTGTCTCCTAAGCGTGGGGTTGCAAGCGTTCGACGGCACAAGGTCGACCGATCATGGCATCCGAGAAAGTCCATATATTCTTCCAGCTGGATGATTCTCCTATTCATGTGAGCCGAACTCGACTCGCGGGGTCACCGAAGGATCGGAAAAAAGTGAAGGACGTCCAGCGCTGTATCCGCAAGTCGGGTTGGGCTGCGATTATGAGCCTCTAGCGTAAATGGGTTCATCATTAGAGTGACTCTCTTCTCGACTGAAGCCAAGCTTGGTACCATCCTCTCAGCCTGCAGGTTCATATTCGGTGGAGCCAACGATATTTAGTCGACCAAAAAGTTCGAGACAATCTGAGGATTGCCGCCTCCACATTCATCTTGTACCAAGAAGGGCGAATTGTGAGCGCTCGTCTGTAAGGAAGTGGGTGCTTCCCGAAAATTATCAAATTGGGTAGAAACTCCAGGCGGGTCACCTGACTGGTTTCTCGATCGCGACGATCGTCACTCAGAACAAGCTTGAGGCAAAAAGTCTCAGAATTATCGGGCGTGCACTCTGCAAGTGCCGCAGACTTTGTGTTGGCATATCTTGTCTTCCTTATCCTTCGGGTACCAGCAGCCATTCGCGGACGTCAGTATTTTCCCAGACGGGGGATTCATGCAAGAAGATTGCTGGAGCTTCTGATTTCATATGGACGACCATGTTCGAGATCACAATGTCGGTGTGGAGATAAACACGGCGCTATTGGCCGCCGAGAAATGTGTTTCCATCGGTAAATTCCCCCGCTGCTTCGAGGACTGGATGTCTATGGACAGTCTACCACAATAATCTCTTCATGGCTGTACGCCGAGAGCGTGAAACGCTTAATGAAAACTTATGATATGTCCGTATTCAGTGGAGGACTAGTTGAGAACATATCCAAGGTTTGGCGAGACGCCACGTTCGAACAGACGCTATAAGTTCGAAGGAACCCTCAAAAACCTGAAAACCGCGAGTCCTCAATCGAGATGAACGGAAGGAGTCGGTCTCGTTTGTCACGATCCTACATCAGGTCCCGGATCTCCGAGCTCCCCTCCGGCCTCGATAAGGGATTCGTGGATGAGACAAGAGAAATCGGGGGTTTTCTCTCGTCGCAGAAGTCACTACATCACCCCACGCAGAGCTCAACGCATCAATGGAAGGAACCGCGGCTCTCGTAGAATGATTGAATATCGCAGCCCCGTCGGGCAATCAGTGGGCTCTAACCAAGCTTCTATGAATACTAGCCCCAATTCCATCAAACAGTGGGCCGATAGAGAGATAGGTCTATTTTCCATGATTTGACACCTCGGCAAGCCGACGGCTCGCCGGGAAAATCGTCGTTGAAAGTTTTTACTTGAATCTTGAATCTACGGTAATGTCAGTGACAGCTAACTTCTTGCTTTTTCTCGGATACAATCCCCATCGTGACTACGGTTCCCCTATCTGCCAGAGGTCTTTCCCGTCCATTATTGATGTGAAATATCCCGATTTTCCTGGTTCTGTGCGTCATTCTCCGATAGCATCCCACAGTAACTCTCCCGGCTCACGTCGACTCTAAATGAATGAAGTGAGAGCACACCCCATTCCTCCGATAAAGAGGAACTCCGTGAAAAATTTAATACTAGGGCGATGGGAGAAGGAGATCTGACCGATCTGCTGAGAAATCACCCCCGAGATGGAATGCAGGTTAAGCTAAAAATGGAATCGGAGGATTCCGTCGTCGGATCAGTCTCAGGGGAAAACGTTCGACCGATCCATCTGGCACTTGGGGCGGGGACCGCGGGATTACCGGAGTTCTATAAATTTAAAAGAGAGCTCTTGCAAAAATGAGCTCCGGGAAACTCGGGACAAGAAATCCGTAGATAATCGAATTCTATCCAAAACACAGAGCCCCTATCGAATCGCGCCATGGCTGCGACTCGAGCGAACCAAGATGGCGGCACCTGCTCTGCTGTGCAGGCGGCGTCGTCCGGCGGCGGATGGAAGTATCGCAAGTGGTACCTCGTGGAACTCGAGGCATCATGTCGAGCAGAATAGGTATCGAATCCCGAGTGAATATCGGAGCTCAGACGCCTATCCTACAGGAAGTCTTTAGCAGAGGAATATCGGGGACTTAATCTCGAAAATCTCCCTCGAAAGCCAATTGACGTCACATCGGCCATTTTCGCGGGGCCCTGTCTGCGGCACCATAGCTCGAGAGCTCGGCCGCGAGAGTCCGCCACTGTCTACGGCCTGAACAGCTGC